GGGGGGGGGGGGGGGGGGGGGCAAATAGGCGTTTTATGGGAGATGTGTAAATGGCAAATACTTATGTTTCCTGTTTAAATAATTTTGTCTAGCAATTTGGTTGAAAAATTTACATTCGTCTAAATTTTATTTGTTCATGAATTTTTGCAGAAGCTTTTGATGTAGGTTTCAATAGAAATGAATAAGGTTGATTTTAATTTTTAAAAATGAATAAATAAATAAATCATCATTACTCGTATTATTATCATTTAAGTAAGAATGCATGTTTTCTGCAACAAATTTCCCTTTAATAAACAGTTGATGCCATTTTAATTTAAAACGAAATTTTAAAACAACCCCGAGTCGAACACGATCCTTTCGCGTGTTATCCTCCCTTAATTACCAATGAAGGCATGTAGTTTAACATACCGTCCACCATCAACTCAATAGAGTTCACCATGATGAGAATCTTGCACAAGATGTGGTATGTACTACATGTTAAACTGTTTTATTTCTTCAACAGCATTTCGTCTTGTCCCCTACCCCCTGGAAAAGGGTCATTTGTTTCATCCCTACCCAGCATGCACTGAAAACGCTGACCGAGAACTTTTGCCAAGTAAGTTCTGTATTGAATGCGCAATGTTGTCTATTACTGTCCGTGTTGAACTAAATCTTAGCCGTTCTGAGATATTATAATGAAGTTTGAACTGCTAGAAAAGTTTCTTGCCAGAAATTAAGGCTTGTAATTAACACGCGATAGAATATTTTTTAGCAGTTAAGAAGGTTGTCAATATGATTAATAGCCTTAGCAATGTCCTTGCTAAACTTAACGCGTTTCAAGTAGCCTTCTATGTTGACATTCTTTGACTCCTCACACCTCAAATTTCTTCGCAAGGACCGTTGACCTTAGATAGGAAGGACCTAAACCAGGGTGGGCTGACCAGCGGTTTTTCCTAAACCAATGGTTTTGTTTTGGGGGGCGCTCATTCTCGCGGGCTCATGAAGCTGGTCCAGGCCTTTAATAGTCTTCGTTGGAGGATGGTGGTACTTAGTTTTAACATGGGTTTGGGAAATCAAATGGTACAATCCATTCCGTTTGGGGGAGCTTCAGATATGGGCTGTCGTTTGAGGTGAGGCAACTTTTCTCGTTTTGGTCTGCTCGGCTGATTTAGATAAAGTTTCTTTCGGTTCCTTCTCCTGCCATCTCAGTTTTTATTGTTAAATGTTTTAAATAATAAGATAATAATCAGTCTTTATTTCACCAAAAGATAAAACTACATATCTTATGTTACAATAAGAGAAGATAAAAACTATGATAAAAATATGTACGTTATATCTATATATTAAAAAAGTGTATCATTACAATAAATGGAGCTTAAAAATCAACCTATTTACAAAGATGTTCATAAAACGCTCTGTATTAATTTTTGGACGTACGCAGCCTTTTTTCCTAAGATTATGTACATACGTCTTCTGAACAGGAATGATATCTTTTAGTGGGTGGCAATCCTTTGATATTAATTTCTTTAAAATGTTTTGGTCTGGTTTATTTAAAAGATTCTTGATAAAAACTGGAAATGAAATAAAACGGCGTTTATGGCATCGGTCTAAAAAATTTTGTATAACCGTAAGATCGGATTCCGAAAGGCTCTGCTCGAAATACAAGCTTACTCTGAAGTGCAGGTATTGATCCTCTCCAGATTACCTTCAGGGTCTTTGTCAATATTGATTCATGCTGTCCTTAATCTTCTTTGCAAAGTTTTCATTCAGACATGTCCTCGTTGTTGTATGAATGTTTGCCCTGAAAGAGCTTGCTTTGGGAGGCTTAGGGAAACTTGTGAGAGTACGAGAACATGGGTATAAACCAATGTATCTGAATAATCACTTATTTTAAAGAGTAAGCCAGTTGGATGCGTAGAGATATGGAGATTGCAAGGAGCTGCAAAAAATAGCATCCCAATAAACTGCAGCCTTTTACTTACATTGCCCACACTCAGGGATACCTCATCACTTTTCTACTATACTGTACATCTTGAAAAGTCTCAAAGAAGAACTTGCCCTGTCCCCTTCTCCCCCTCCCCCACCCTTTTAAAGTTGATTTGATCATTTGCTGTAAAAAGGAAACGTGGCCAACCTTACTGGCTCATGTTTAACCTTTGCCTAAAGTATTTCAAACCATTTGACACCAGTTACAGCAAACAAACCTGATTTAACAGAGATACAGTATTCTGTTCTCACTCACTTTTTCCTCTGTCTTTCTTTTATCCACAGCAAGTTCTAGCTAAATATGATGGTAAGAGTTATAAAATTTTCATATTAATTTGTTCTTTCTTGGGTGGAAATTTATAAAGGACAAAACAAATTGATTTTTTTTTTACTTTGCAGATATAAGTCTTCCTAAGTCAGCTACAATATGTTATTCAGCTGCACTCCTTAAAGCCAGAGCAGTTTGTGACAAGTAATGAAAATAACTTTTGTACTTGGGCCGCTAGTTGAAGAGTTTTTTTTTTTTTCTCAGCTGTTAAAATTATAAGACCTGACTAAATTTGACAGTGTTCACCCACTGATCATCGCAGAAAATACTGATCGTTGAATGGCTAGAATGACTTCATACAGAAGATGTAAGCCACCCTGAAAGATCATGACAAAACAATCACTTTTCTCCCTCGTAAACATTCTGTACAGTTTGTATACCGATAACACACAACATGTGCAGTGAATGTGTGGTTCTTTCCCTTCAAGTGAAGCCAACAAGTCCTGATCTACGCCTCAGTCAGTTTTTCCTCATTTATACTCAGACTCTTCATTCCACAGACTACGACTAGTCCTTCATTTTCCTCGGAGATGGTTGAGCGAGCGAGGCGTGAAAATCTCTGCTTGGAGGAGAAACGAAAAATAAATACATTTTTTCTCTTCCCTCCACATGTCACCTTCCTCATGGGTGGCGGTCTTCACGCTAGCTTGCAAATTTTGCTTGCTGTACTATATGGTACTGTATGTTTTCGTCCACCAAAGTGACACGTTTGTTTTTTCTAAGTATTTTTGTTTTGTCTTTATACAGATTCTCTCCTGAAATAGCAGCAAAGAGGGGATTAAGTCCAGCTGAAATGGCAGCAGTGGAGGCCATACATAGAGCAGTGGAATTTAACCCTCATGTTCCTAAAGTAAGTAACTGATTCTTCTCTTATCTACACTGACTGTCTCTTATACAGTGGAACCCAGTTATTACGGTCACCAAGGTGCAAAAAAAAATTGGCCGTAATAACGAGGTGGCCGTAAGGCGGAGTTCCACTTTATCTGAAAACTAATGATTTTATTACTATCTATTTTCACTAATGCTTTAGATCAAGCTGTCAGGATGCCCCGCTATTATGCATGTGAATAAAATTAACCATAAGAAAATAGTGTTTACCAAGACTCACTCTTGTCCCTTTTTGTCGTAATGAATGCTATTTTTTTACAGTATCTTCTGGAGCAGAAAAGTCTAATACTACCTCCAGAGCATATTTTAAAACGAGGAGACAGCGAGGCGATAGCTTACGCGTTCTTTCAAAGGCTCTGCTCGAAATACAAGCTTACTCTGAAGTGCAGGTATTGATCCTCTCCAGATTACCTTCAGGGTCTTTGTCAATATTGATTCATGCTGTCCTTAATCTTCTTTGCAAAGTTTTCATTCAGACATGTACTCATTGTTGTATTTTTTTTTCACTAAAAAGGCTTGCTTTGGGAGGCTTTGGGAAACTTGTAAAAGCACGAAAACATGGGTATAAACCAATGTATCTGAACAATCACTTATTTTAAAGAGTAAGACAATCGGATGGGTAGAGGTATGGAGGTTGCAAGGAGCTGCAAAAAATAGCATCCCAATAAACTGCAGCCTTTTACTTACATTGCCCACACTCAGGGATACCTCATCACTTTTCTACTACTGTACATCTTGAAAAGTCTCAAAGAAGAACTTGCCCTGTGCCCCCTCTCCCCTCCCCCACCCTTTTAAAGTTGATCATTTTCTGTAGAAAGGAGAATTGGCCAACCTTACTTGCTGATGTTTAACGTAATTTACCTGAAAGTATTTCAAACCATTTGACAGCAGTTACAACAAACAAACCTATCAGAGATACAGTATTCTGTTCTCACTAACTTTTTCCCCTGTCTTTCTTTTACTTACAGCAAGTTCTAGCTAAATATGATGGTAAGAGCTTCATATTTGTTTTTTCTTGGTTGGAAATTTATAAAGAACAAAAAATCGATGAATTTATTTGATTACTTTGCAGATATAAGTCTTCCTAAGTCAGCTACAATATGTTACTCTGCTGCACTCCTTAAAGCCAGAGCAGTTTGTGACAAGTAATGAAATAACTTTTGTACTTGGGCCGCTAGTTGAAGAGTTTTTCTCAGCTGTTAAAATTATAAGACCTGACCTAAATTTAACAGTGTTCACCCACTGATCATCCCAGAAAATACTGATTGTTGAATGGCTAGAATGATTTCATACACCCTAAAAGATGATGAAAAAACAATCACTTTTCTCCCTCGTAAACATTATGTACAGTTTGTTTAACACACAATGCGTACAGTGAATGTTTGGTTCTTTCCCTTCAAGTGAACCCAACAAGTCCTGATCTACGCCCCAGCCAGTTCTTCCTCATTTATACTTAGGCTCTTCATTCCATAGCTATCACTAGTCCTTCATTTTCCTCGCAGATGGTTGAGCGAGCGAAATTCACGAGCAGGCGTGAAAATCTCTGCTTGGAGGACAAACGAAAAATAAAGAAAGAAGAGAAAATACATGTATTTTTCTCTCTTCTCTTCACATGTCACCTTCCTCGTGGGTGGCGGTCTTCACGCACGCTTGCATATTTTGCTTGCTGTACCATATGGTGCTGTATGTTTTCGTCCACGGAAGTGACACTTTTGTCTTTTCTAAGTATTTTCTTTTTGTCTTTATACAGATTCTCTCCTGAAATAGCAGCAAAGAGGGGATTAAGTCCAGCTGAAATGGCAGCAGTGGAGGCCATACATAGAGCAGTGGAATTTAACCCTCACGTTCCTAAAGTAAGTAACTGATTCTTCTCTTATCTACACTGACTGTCTCCTATACAGTGGAACCCCGTTATTACGGTCACCAAGGGGCTAAAAAAAATTGGCCGTAATGACGAGGTGGCCGTATTAACGAAGGCTTCTTTACAACAAAATGTATGGACGGTTTTGCCGGGCGGCCAAAAAAAAGTGACCGTTTTAAGAAGATGGCCGTAAGGCAAGGTTCCACTTTATCTGAAAACTAATGATTTTATTACTATCTATTTTCACTAACGCTTTAGATCAAGTTGTCAGGAGGCCCCGCTACTATGCATGTGAATAAAATTAACCATAAGAAAATAGTATTTACCCAGACTCACTCTTGCCCCTTTTTGTCGTAATAAATGCTATTTTTTTACAGTATCTTCTGGAGCAGAAAAGTCTAATACTACCTCCAGAGCATATTTTAAAACGAGGAGACAGCGAGGCGATAGCTTACGCGTTCTTTCACTTACCTCACTGGAAAAGAGTAGACGGAGCTCTTAATCTGCTTCACTGCACGTGGGAAGGAAGTATGTATGGACAGACCTCTTTTGTGTGTTCCTTTTTTCGTCATCATCATCATTATCTTCATCATCACTTTTATTATTGTAAATGTTAGTATCAGTACCATTTTTACAAAGAAACATCCACTAAGATTCTTGATTTATTTCTTGCTTGTACATAATTTTCAAGGAAATTCCAATCGCCATTTGCACATCTCCAATCATGATTACACCTTGTTTGCCCCCAAAATTTTGTATAGCGTTTGTTTTTAAATTCTCCTAGGTATTACAGTCCTCCCCAGAGAAACTGAAGACAACACTTATTCAAAATTGGGGGGGGGACAAGTAGGCGTTTTATGGGAGATGTGTAAATGGCAAATACTTATGTTTCCTACTTAAATAACTTTCTCTAGCAATTTGATTGAAAAATTTACATTCGTCTATATTTTATTTGTTCGTGAATTTTTGCAGAAGCTTTCTATGTAGGTTTCAATAGAAATGAATGAGGTTGATTTTAAATTTTAAATAATGAATAAAGAAATAAATCATCATTACTCGTATGATTATCATTTAAGTAAGAATGCATGTTTGCTGCAACAAATTTCCCTTTAATAAACAGTTGAACAACCCCGAGTCGAACGCGAACCTTTCGCGTGTTATCCTCCCTTGATTACCAATGAAGGCATGTAGTTTAAAATACCGTCCATCATCAACACAATAGAGTTCACCATGATGAAAATCTTGCATAGGATGTGGTACGTATTACATGTTAAACTGTTTTATTTCTTCAACAGCTTTTCGTCTTGTCCCTTACCCCCTGGAAAAGGGTCATTTGTTTCATCCCTACCCAGCATGCACTGAAAACGCTGACCGGGAACTTCTACCAAGTAAGTTCTGTATTGAATGCGCAATTCTGTCTATTACTGTCCGTGTTGAACTAAATCTTAGCCGTTCTGAGATATTTTAATGAAGTTTGAAGTGCCGGAAAAGTTTCTTGCAAGAAATCAAGGCTCGTAACTAACGAGCGATAGAATATTTTGGAGAAGTTAACAACGTTGTCAATGAGCAATAGCCTTAGCAATGTCCTTGCTAAACTTAACGCGTTTCAAGTAGCCTTCTATGTTGACATTCTTTGACCCCTCACACCTCGAATTTTTTCGCAAGGACCGTTACTTACTATTAAGACCTTATACTGTAAATAGGAAGGACCTAAACCAGGGTGGGCTGACCAGTGGTTTTTCCTAAACAAATGGTTTTGTTTGGGGGTGCTCATTCTCGCGGGCTCACAAAACTGGTCCAGCCCTTTAATAGTCTACGTTGGAGGATGGTGGTACTTAGTTTTTACATGGGTTTGGGAAATCAAATGGTACAAGCCATTCCGTTTGGGGGAGCTTCAGATATGGGCTGTCGTTTGAGGTGAGGCAACCTTTCTCGTTTTAGTCTGCTCGGCTGATTTAGATAAAGTGTCTTTCGGTTCCTTCTTCTGTCATCTCAGATTTTATTGTTAAATGTTTTTTCACAAGATTTTCAACCGGATTGTTTGTGTAAAGCACCCTAGGTTTGAAGGTGCTGTAAAAGATCTAAGTGTATGTGTGGATAAAAATTCTCTTGAAGTAACTTCTTTTACATTTGTCCTTTTCAGGTCACCATGAACTCTCCATTTACCCCAAAAAAGAACTTCCTTTCTTCATTCTGTTTACCGCTGCCCTGTGCTCTTTCACCGCAATGCTGGCTCTTCTTACGCACCAGTTCCCAGAACCAATGGCCAACGCGGCCAAAACAGTAAGTAGTTATGTACAAAACGTAGAGTGCAACGAGCCTGTCGACGCCACACTACAATATGCAGATTTAGTAAGGACAGTGCGAAGTCAAATGTGAACGCAAAAGCGCTCGAAAAGGACTGAACGCAACTTCCAGTCCTCGATTTCCCGAAGTGCCATTGGTCAAGTCGCCTTTTAGATCTGCGCGCACCGTCGTTGTTAGGGAGTTTAAGCAAAGACGTTTTTGAGCGACGCATGTCAGCCGGTAGTGGCCAGTTTTCATTCTTGGGCAAAGCTTTTGCCCAAATATTGGGCAAATCATCATCTCTCTAAGGGTAAAGAAACTTAGCAATACAAATTTGGTAGCGTCCAAGCATTAACCCTTACCCCATTTTACCTGCTATATGCCAAATGTCAATTTTTACTCCTAAAGATTTTGATCGTCTTATGAAATTAAGAATCTCTTCCATTTTCTGCTGTAATCATACAGGAAAATAGATGACTGTAAACATCTATCAGGGTTACCTTTTATAATACTCGAGCTCAAAATTAAAAAGAGAAAAAAGGGCTTAATACACTGTGACCAAACTTCCAAGTACACATTTTCTTTGAACTTAATTTTGTTTGTCTGTAATTTGTATTCCTCAGTGTTTGAGCTGGATTTCAACACCGTTAAATCTCATTATACAGAAGTTTGAAGATTTCTTTCCTGCTCACATATGGCATCAGCTGACACGCATCTGATTGGAAAATAAAACGGCGTTTATGGCATCGGTCTAAAAAATTTTGTATAACCGTAAGATCGGATTCCGATGCCCCATAGACTGAAAGCGCATAGCTAAAATTAGGTAAAACAATAGATATAAAAAGGTGATCTATCATTGTTTTTTCACAAGATTATCAACCATATTGTTTGTGTAAAGCACCCTAGGTTTAAAGGTGCTATACAAGATAAAAGTGTATATGTGGATAAAAATTCTGTTGAAATAACTTCTTTTACATTTTTCCTTTTCAGGTCACCATGAACTCTCCATTTACCCCAAAAAAGAACTTCCTTTCTTCATTCTGTTTACCGCTGCCCTGTGCTCTTTCACTGCTATGCTGGCTCTTCTTACGCACCAGTTCCCAGAACCAATGGCCAACGCGGCCAAAACAGTAAGTAGTTATGTACAAAACGTAGAGTGCAACGAGCCTGTCGACGCCACACTACAATATGCAGATTTAATAAGGACAATGCAACGTCAAATGTGAACGCAAAAGCGCTCGAAAAGGACTGAACGCAACTTCCGGTCCTCGATTTCCCGATCTGCCATTGGTCAAGTCGCCTTTTAGATCTGCGCGCGACGTCGTTGTTAGGGAGTTTAAGCAAAGACGTTTTTGAGCGACACGTGTCAACCGGAAGTGGCCAGTTTTCATTCTTGCGCAGTGCTTTTGCCCAAATATTGGGCAAATCATCTCTGTAAGGGTAAAGAAACTTAGCAATACAAATTTGGTACCGTCAGAGCATACTAAAAGAGAAAAGTCCTTACTTCCGGTTGACGTGCGTCGCTCAAAAACGTCTTGGCTCCCTACTGTCGTCGCGTTCTCTTTGCTAAATCTGCCTAGAGTGCTAAGGTTGCTCCGCCCTTTGGTATGTGGCATTTTTCTTGTGCAAGTTTACCCTGTGTTTGCAACATTTGCCTTTGAAAACAGTGTCATAGTGTTCATCCTGTCAGAAGTCTCGGATGAAAAAAAAAGCAAATGAAGAGAAGAGTTACAGCTTGCTTCGCTTTTAAATTGTGCGCGAAAATCAGTCTTAGTCTGTCTGACATAAGTGGTGGTAGACTTGTAGCAATAGACAAGAGAAAGCTGTGCCGTGTGATCACTTGTAAAGATTCTTCTTCCGGCTTGCAACGCAAAGTAGCCAAGAGAGTTGTGACACTGTTAAAAGAGTGCATCATATTTGACAATTTCACGCTCACATTTGTCCTCCCTTTTTCTCATATTCAAATGCGTGGCTTTCCATGATTTGGGACTGTCAACAGTTACCTATTTTTCCGTGAGATCCTCGCTACCGAGCGCGCTTTTCAACGGGCGGTCATCTTGGTTTCTAATGTACTAAGGGCACGGGCTCCGCAGGGGAGGAAGGCGCGAAAAAATAACCCTAACCTCATTTTACCTGCTATATGCCATATGTCAAGTTTTACTCCTAACGATTTTGATCGCCTTATGAGATTAAGATACTCTTCCATTGTCCCTGGTAATCATACAGGAAAATAGGTGACTATAAACATCTATCAAGGTTATGTTTTATCATACTCGAGCTCAAAATTAACAACAGAAAAAGGGGCTTAATACACTGTGACCAAACTTCCAAGTACCGATTTTCTTTGGACTTAATTTTGTTTGTTTGTAATTTGTATTCCTCAGTGTTTGAGCTGGATTTCAACACCGTTAAATCTCATTATACAGAAGTTTGAAGATTTCTTTCCTGCTCACATATGGCATCAGCTGACACGCATCTGATTGGTTTTTACTCTAACCACGTGCTTTCATCCCTACTCTGATTGGTTCACCTTATCACCTTATTTAGAAATAGCCCATGAGATCACTACTGTTGTCGTTGCAGCATTGGGTGTTTTAATGAAACGTAATTAGAAGGGGTGAATCGCAATTTGCTTCTTAGACACTGTCTCTTACTATTAAAATCGTTGATAT